CTGGCTGCTGTATGTGCTGTTACAAATGCAGTGCTTACATTATCAGGCTGTTAGTCTGCCTGATGCCTTTTCATTATCAGTGTTTCACACCAGGTCCCTTTTAGCTCTGTTCTTTCTATCCAGGAGATACAGTTCTAGGACAACAGTAGGCCCAATAAGATCACTAGAATCATATATTATGGATGTTAAAATAAAGAAACTGGTTCTTAATCACTAGGTGTTTTATTTGTAACTTCAAAGTGGTCTACAACTTTAACTGGATGCTTCAATATGCAGTTATTTAGAATTCATAATCCAAATAAGAATGCTTTGTTTCAAACTGTGTTCATTCTCATTGGAAGAGTACTAAGGATAAGGAAGGCAACATACACAGTGTTTTAATTTGGAATAACAATTCCATTTTTGTAATGTATGTTAAGCAGACCAAGGGTTCTCAGGAACCTTTGGAGACCATCTAGTCATACCCATCTGATCAGGCAGAGCCAGCTAGAGACAATTCCTCAAGACCTTACCCGGGGAGCTTTTGAGCATCTCCAAGGAGGGAGATTCCATAAATTCCCTGTGCAGCTGTTCTATTGCTCAGTCACCTGAAAAATGAAGTGCTTCCTGTGTTCACACACAACCTCTGTGTTCCAGTCTGTGCCCATCACTTCTTGTCCTGACACCGGGTGCCCTTGAGTCTGGCCTCGTATTCTTTGAACCTTCATTTCAGATCTTCCTGGAGCCTTCTGTCCAGGAACAGTCCCATTTCTCATCCTTTCTTAATTATATAAGAGGTACTCCTGTACCTCAGTTACCTTTGTGTCTGGACTCTCTCCAGCATGTTCATGTTTCTCTTGTACTGTGAGTTGCATACTACTCTAAGTGTGGCCTCACCTATGCTGAGTATAGGGGAAGGACTGATTCCCTCTACTTCTTGGCAATTACTTTCCCTAACACAAGTGAAGACATCATTGCCTTCGTTGCCACAAGAACACGCTGCTGCCTAATGGTTAATTTGTCCACCCATGCCATTTCTGCCTTTTCACTTTTTAGCTGTGTGGCCCCCGGTGTGTATTTGTTCATGAGATTGTTCCTCTCCACATGTGGGACTTTTCAATTTCCCTTGTAATAATTCTTGAGGTTCCTGTCAGAACGCTTCTTGCACCTGCCAAGATCCCTGTGTATGGTGACACAACCTTCTGGTATATCCACCATGGCTCCAAGCTTTCATAACACACTTACTGAGCCTCTCTGTCCTCATTGCTAATGAAGATGTTAATGAGGACTGGGCCTAGTATTGACTCTTGGGGTACATCTCTCCACATTGACTTCCGACTAAACTTTGAGCCACTGATCACCACCCTTCTGGGCTTGGTCACTCAGTCACTTTTCAGCTTTACTGCTCTCGTCTGACCCATCAGACTGATCATTTCATTTCAGTAGTAACTTTTAAATTAGTCAAGTGTGACTTCCCCTTTGTGAATTCATGCTGACTACTCCTGCTGATTTTCTTCTTTTCTTATGCCTGGAAATAGTTTCCAAGATAACATAGTCCATTACTTTTCCAGGGACTGAAATGAAAATGACCATCCTGTAGTTCGCTTGGTCCTCCTTCTTACCCTTCTTGAAGACAAGAATGATGTTTGCTTTCCTTCTGTCTTCAGGTGCTTTTCCCAATCACCATGATTGAGGAAGGATCATAGAGAGTGGCCTCACAGAGTCAGTTCCCTCAGCACCTGCGGGTGCAGTTTGCCTCTAGACTGGTGCTCCCTGTCAACATTATGAATATATTTTTATCCTGTAAATTGCAGCTAGTTGTTTGGGAAAGTCACGCTACTGTTTTCATGAAGCTGCTCATCTCCTAACTTAGTGCTGGAGCATTGTCACGGTTTTATGATTTTTGTTTCTTTGTGACAAGCACAAAGACACTTTAGACAGTGTAAACACTTCTGCCATTATAATTTGCTTGTACTATTTCAGTAATATATGATGTAGAACTTAAAAAATAGTGAAATCGTTTATAAAATGGAACATTAGTTGGAGTTAAAGGGAAAATGTCACCAAAAAAGAACAGTTCAGTGGACTACTTTTTCTTTGCAGAGTAATTCATTGCAATTACTGTTGTTAAGAGAGACAAACCTCTGTAAATTTTAACTGTAGTTAACTTGCATTCCATGTTCCATCCTTCAAATGGCTCTGTAATCACAGAATGACAGAATGGTTATAGTTGGAAGGGACCTCTGGAAGTCGCCCAGCCTAACCCTCCTGCTCAGACAGGGCCTCCTACAGTCAGTAATGTTTAAAATTCATATTCTTCAGACCCACAATTGTTATATCCTCCTTGTTTAAGACTTCCCACTACTCAACTGTCTGAAAATGTGTAAAGTGGTCTGAGTTGCATTAATATTAGTTATTATAATGTTCAGGGATCACTACATTTGGCCTTTCTGAATAGAATCAGTTTTCTGATGTATATTCGAAAACAGTTTTTATTTATAATAGAAGACAAATTTTTATTATTTCAGATGTTCTATTCCCAGTTTGCATGTCACAACATTACCAGTGCATTTGAAACAGGAAGTCCTTGCTTAAATGCAGATCCTGCAGATATATCTGAATGTCACATTTTGCAATATAAAAATTAACCAGGAGAGCTGAGGAAGTATCTTACATCTTAGTGCTCTGTATACTTAAGAATAAACAAAAATACTCCTTAGCAGGAGACCAACAGAATTCTGCAGAGCAAGATGTCCCTTCTCTGATTCTATTAACAGACGTTCTGACTGTAACAATTGACTGTTGAACAGTTTTCAGAGCTGCAGATATGTTTGTGTCTGTGAGCCAGAAATAGAAATCTAAATTAAACTGCTGGACTGCAGTAAAGATGTGTTTAATCGCTTTTTGATAGATCTCATAACATGCAGGTGATCAGGTTCTCACCCCATTCTATGTGTATCAAGCTTTCTAAACAGTTAAACTTGTACAGTGGAAAACAGATTTGTGACTCAGAATGTGACTGACATGAGTTACAGAAAATCATATGTAAATGAATGCCTTCCGATGGCATGTCTAAAAACCCAATGTATTTGCCTTTCTCCCAGTGGCATTTAAAATAAGTGTTCTGCACACTCATTATCAAGGATACCGTGCCACCCATTGGAAGACCCAAAAACATTGTTTTCCCTAACCTGACCCTGAGTGAGAGAAATCCAAGCTGACCCTGACTCTTTGCTAGGGAGCTGCAGTGTACTGTAAAGAATGCATACCCAGGGTGCATAAAAGCTGCTTTCCACATTGTTAAAGAATTGTAAATAACTGAGAAATTGCTTCCTTCTGGACTAAAAAAATCTACATGTCGTAGAAAAAAGTTTGCCATACATGAAAATAAAAGCTGGAGAATGAATATGTTTTCCCTAGATTGAAAATTTTTGGACTTGTTAAAGAAGAGAGCAAATGAAATATCTGAGTTGAGCAGCAAGGAATTTATACTGCTGTTTCAGATAACTGCATGGGCTTATTGTGCCTTTATAAATGTGGAATGAATCTGTGTAGGTTAGTGGCTTCACCAGCTTTGTGGTAGTGGAGGTGAAAGGAAGAAGGCAAGGCACCTTCTCTATGTATTCTAATTTAGTGATACTTTTAAATATCACGAGGGAAATAATCAAAGGAACTCATAAAGGTTTTGTTTTTTGTTTTTTTTTCTGTAAGACACAGCTTGTTGTGACACATTGGTATAATCCTTGCTTATGAGTCACAGGCCTACTCCACAGAGGTATTTCAACATGTGTCTGATATTTAACATATGGGCAGTTGCTATAGGAAGGCTCTCATGCAGTTTTATATGGGGTGTGAGTTGTATCCACATTCTTGCTTGGTATTGTTTGTGAAGAGCTGCAGCATTTTAGTGAAGTTGAATGTAAATGAAACAGTTTTAAAATCAGGATCTGAGCTCACAGAAGCAGATTTATAGAACTGTGTGCACCTTCTTCCAGGACTAGCACTACAGTATGTAAAATGTTTTGGATATTCTTTTCAGTGAGAAAATATATGATGGTATTAATTTACCACTGCTGTTTTCTACATTTGACAACAAAGTGATTTGACTGACTTCAGCTATGCTTTTATTCTCAAACGCAGCAGTGTGTTTGGAAATAAAGAAAGGAAAACAGTAAAAATCATAGTGAATACGTGCTTGTGGTACTAAGTTTTTTTTTTGCCTATACCACAGAATTACATTCAAAAGACCAATTTCATGTCATCTGAGAAATGTTCATACAGTAGAAACTCACTACAAGTCATTTCAGAAGGGAAAACTGTAACCTGTAAAATGTGATTAACCAGTTGTAAAGAAGTCCAATAATCTCAACAGTGTTACACTATATAGGACAGATATGAGTTTACCAGTACTGCCAAATCATTTGTACTCTCTTGTGCTGCTAACTTAATTATCAGTCTGATCAATATTACACGGCTGGGACATTCTTCCACTATATACATGAAAACAATTATATTTTCCCAGCTATATTGTAATCAGATTATTTACTTTCTGAGGTCTGTATGTTCACTCTGTTTCTTTTGTTTCCACCAAATTAATTTGCTTTTTTAACATGGATTGGGAGGATTAATAACTCATTTTGCTAGTAGGAACATTAACCTGAAACTGTAGTGATACATTGTGGAAATAAGGTGATCTAGCACTTTCACATGTTTAAATACAGTGAAAAGTAGTGTCATCTGCTTATTACTGCACTGTGCATTTGAAAATAGTTCATCCACACCTCCTTACTGCACCACCATTTGCTTTACTGTAATGCTTTTAATCTGTAAGATGATAGAAGGAAGATGAAGACCCATGTAAGATGTTTAGGTCCTGAGACTGAAATTCAGCCTGCCTTCCAGCTTTTGTTTGGTTTCTTTGTTCAAGAAAGTTTAGCTCTTATGTAGTAGATTTGGGTGTACTCTGTTTGGCATTTAAGTATAACCTGCCTGTTGCTAATTATTTATTTTACTTTTTAAAGGCCATGATTAAAAGTTTTATGGATGTCTACCAACTTGCAAGTTCCAGAATTGACATATTAGTGAAAGAAACAGCACCTCATCAGCTTCACACTGCAGCCCCAATGTCCAAGCACCAAACATTGCCTTCATGAAAGTGGGACTTACAATTGGTAAGTTTGCATTTCAACTACATTTTTGTCATTTTGATTTCCTGACCATTCATACTGCGTAGTTTCTACAGGGCGCAGTAGTTTTTCATTATAAGTATACTAGATCAATAAGACCAGTAGCAACAGAAACTTTCTGAGACTTTTCCAGAAGAGAATACAGGGATGTAAGAGTTAACACAGGAATCAGTTTTACTACTGTATCTTTTTTAGGGACCTGTTCTTTGCTGCTGTCATTGAAAAAGTGCATAGTTGAATTTTGGACCTGAAGAATTTAACTGTCAAAAGATATAGCCAGTGAACACATAAAGTTGTTGACGGTGCATAGAGGCACAATATTAATTAGGATACAAGATGTTTTTGTAGACAATTGTGATAAACTATGCATCTCAGTAAATACTGTGATCCGGTTATAAGGTTAAATAAATCATTTTTTTCTAAAATGTTGTCCACAAGAATACTTGAACTTGTTTAAGGCTATAAAGGTGCTTCTTTATTCCTGAGAACTGTGTTTAACATTCTTATTGAATGCAGGTATATTTGTGCCACGCATGCAGGAGGCTAGACATGTGAATATACAAATGGCCTAAATATGTAGCCAGATATGTCTAGAATGAGACTGTGTAAGTTGTGCCACTTCCATACACTTGATGAATTTCTTCTCCGTCTTTCTCTAGTTTTCAATACAAGATTAAGAGGAAATCTTAAATCTTGAAAGGCATTTTTGTTTTGTTTTGATTCCCTTCTTCTTCCTCCTTTCTTTCACTCCTGTGAAGCAAAGAATCGTAAAGGAATTGAGGACTGTTTGGTTTCCTTTTTGAAGAAGAGGTAGATAAGGGTAGATAACAGCAGGACAAGGGGAAATGGTTTTAAGTTGAGGGAGGGAAGATTTAGGTTGGATGTCAGAGGGAAGTTCTTCACTATGAGAGTGCTGAGGTGCTGGAACAGGCTGCCCAGAGAGGTTGTGGATGCCCCATCCCTAGAGGTGTTCAAGAGCAGATTGGATGGAGTCCTGGGCAGCCTGGTCTAATATTGGGTAAGTAATGTGGAGGTTGGCGGCCCTGCATTTGGCAGAGGAGTTGGAGATTCATGATCCTTGAGGTCCCTTCCAACCCTGGCCATTCTGTGATTCTGTGAAGATCTTTAAGAGGAGAGCACTCAAAGCAAATGACAGAAACACATGAACATATATATATCTAAAGGTTGTGGCTGTGAATTCCAAATTTTTACTGATTTCAAAACAATTCCATTTATTTATTAACGTGCTCCAGAATGGATCAGCATGATGGAAAATTAGCACAAATAGAAAGTATATTAGTCAGTGTTGAACTTCACTTGATCTCGGGATGGATCACAGTCAATTTGGATGAATGCGTTGTGTTATCTGTGGATGTGCAAACTTTCTAAGGCACTCAATGAAATTACTTCTTTTCTCCTCCAAACAGCCTTTCTCTGTATTTCTGCTAGGTTTCCATGCATCCTGCTGAGCCTGTGCCCAGTGTAATTGTGTTGCTCCTTTGCCTGTTATGATTGCTTTTCTTGTTTAGATCAAGCTGACCACTTGTATACTAAGGACTCAGAAGCCTGCCAAACTTGCTGTAGAGAGGTTTGCTTTCATTCTGATTGAGAGAGCTTTTAGAGAAGATTACACTAGTCCTGTTTGTGAAGGGCTATGCAGTGGCTTGATTTGTTATAGTGAAAACAAACAAATTGCGTCCCTAGCTCTCCAATGCCTGTGATTAAATGCAATCTTCTAGTAAGTAATTTGTGTCTGCATACAGTACAGATGTACAAATCATACTATTTGCATTGAAGTATTGAAGTACTGCCTGGCTCTTCTACACAGCCCACTGAGGAGAAGAATAGTTACTCCTTGAATAACAGTTTCAATTGTCATTTACCATAAGTACTAATTGAAAGTATTTTAAAATTTTAATGTGAAGCCCCTTTCTCCCCCTCCCCCCCCAAATCCAAATAGCTGGTTTTCCTACTTACTTTAAAAAAATGTGTTTATTGGATATTTTGTAATATACGTACTTTCTTTGGAATTAGTCCATAATATGTGCAAATATTTCATCAAGCATGACTTTCAGTACCTTCAGGAGTCATGGGTTTCCAGCATGGCTTACATTTTAAGGGATTGGTTGACAGTCAGTCCTGTTCTGATTTTGATGAAATTTTGCACTAAATTTTCCTCTGTTTAAAAAGTAGGTTTTTTTTTTTTCCTTGACTATTAGTGTCTTGTGATAGTCTTTTTTTGCAATCATAACAGTTTTGCTTCTATGTATTTCCTTTTTTTTTTTTTTTTTTTTTTTTTTTAATTTACGTTCTCTGAAATGCAGCTGCCATAGTCACAGTTTTGTTCTCCACAGTTTGCTGCATTTGGGTTATTTGCTGACTGGGGTTGTCAAATGAGGAACAGAGAAGCCAGCAGTGAGCCTCTAGTATGAAATGAGATGGAGAATTTCACTGAGCACTGAACTTCATGCTGGACTGGCACTGCCATTTGGTCCATGAAATAGTGAAGAAACACTATCATAGTTAAAAACTTCTCAGTGGTCTTCCCATCACGTGTCTCTGACCTTATGCCCTCTTATGACTTGCCTTAGGAAAGCCTGATGTGCTTACAAGGGGGTCTTTAGTGGAAGTATTTCAACAGTAGAAGCTGTACCCAAGAGAAGAGAAGATACCAGCTGAAAGTGTTTCCATACTTGTTTTTTTACTTTTTGTTGTTGTTATGCAGCAACAGCAAGTAATGTAACCATCACAGATTGGATTGTGCTTCAGGGTTTCCTTTTAAATGAACACCCACCAATATTTTAACAGTACTGGACTCTACTACTTTGATCCATTTTATGTCTTCAAATATATTAATTTATTACCATGCTTGCACTTTCATTCAGAGTTGTAGGAGCAAGTAGGCTTTGAACTGAGAGCTTGTAAATGCTGTACTGTGAAATACTGCAGTCATAAGCAATTACTTTGTGGGTGCTGTGGGGTAAGATGTGGCATGAAGTTAGTCACAAGGTAAGCATGTGAGTCCCTGCCTAAGGGAGTTTGTGGCCACAAGTACAGTGTTGTGGGGAGTGGATGCAGTGATGCTGTATTCTTCAGTGTGCTCTGACACATCTGAGTTACTAACTGAATTCAGTTTCAGTTCATTATGGTAGTGCTCCGGAAGGTGTTTTCATAGCTGTTAGACTTGAGATTTTGTGACTGGTGTCAGTAGTACTTTCAAGAACATCAAGTATTTTGGTACCAGTTTTGACAAATAAAAGAAACCCCCCTACCCCATTCTAAGTAGCCAGGTGTTTGTCTGACCTGGAGACTACTGCATCTCTGTGGCCTTAAGCATGCATGCAGCTGATCTCATTATACTCCCTCTTTTTTTTTTTTTTTTTTTTTAAGCTTTTTTTTGCTTTCACATTAGAATCAAAAGAAGGTAGAAGACAAAGGGGAAAAGAGAGTAACTTTATTAAGCAAATGAGGAGGGAAAAGCTTTCTTAGTTGTTCTGGTTAAATAAAAATTTGGGGAGACAGCAGGATGTCTTTAACTGTAAAAGGTGAGGAGGTTTCAGATGGGTGAGAGAGGTTCATTGAAAGACTCCAAGAGGAGCAGAGTTCTCATGAAACGAGCCATGAAACAACTGTTGTCTTTGGATGCTTCTCCTAACTGGAGCTGAAAATCAAATCACTCATTGCTTTATGTGGCTTTTCATCATCCTTGCTTTTTAACCCCTAAAGTCATGGCTACATCTGTCTTCTGTTTAAAAATTTCTAGTGGTATCTCACACAGTAGTGGAAATGCAAAGACCACAAATGTTGATAAAGTGAGAGAAGTAAATAAAGTGATCCTATGTGTGAGAAATACATATGCCTTCATATTTTGTATTGAAGAGCAGCATTAAGCAGAAAGTATACTTCCCACTCAGAGCAGTCAGCTCTCAGTTCTCATTTTCTACTTGCACCTGATTCATGGTGGGGAGAGACACAGCGAATGCTGTGAACTCAGACTTAGCAGCTAATGACACCACTGACAGTCTCTTTCTACTTAACTGGACTGTTCAGGGCAGTGTGTATCTTTCCCCCACATTTTTTGTTTCCATGTCATTGCTTTAATCATCGTTTGAAGGGTGGAAGTTGCATCTAAGCAGGATGCAGGTCTTACACATAGAATGATGAGAAGGGAACCAAGGAAGAAGATAAAGGCTATTTGACTTTTCACTTGCTGCTCAGGAGAAAGGCTCACAATCCATCAGTGTGATGTTATGTGACAGAGAACGTGCTTCATGGGTTGAAGCCATATCTCTTGTGTTAGAACATGGAATGACTGATGCAGCTGGGGGAGTTCTTGCCAGATGTTGCATGAGACAGATGGGTCCTTGATGAAAATCCTACTTGGCTTTTCCACTACTTCATGCTAGCCTGGTGCACAGCTGAACCAAAAAGATTTTATTTAAGGTTTGGAATTGAACTGGTTTTGTGAAAGACTGGAGAAACTTATTTTTAATTTGCCATGCAAAAAAAAAAAAAAAAAAAGAATACAGCAAACGTAATATTTTCATTGTTACCTTTATCTTGCAGCATTTTCTTAGGAATAGTCCAGGACAGAACTCAGTAAGATGTAAACCTCAAATAATTGTTTGAACATTGGTCTGTATTGTTAATTAGTGGTGCATGGATTATTTACTGCGTAGTGTATGAATGTTCTTCAAGTGTTACTAAGTAAAGGAACATGTAACAGCCCCAAAGGAGAATTTCCCAACTATTGAGACAATAAGAGAGATGAAAGAGTGGAAACACCAGTATGAGCAAAAAATTAAAATGATTCCATTTTCTAAGCTCGAAGTCTTTATTAGGATGACCCTGGAAAGCAGGAATATCTACCAGGGAGCAATTTTTTACAGAAGTATTTACATTTCTTACCTGACTGTAAGCAACTGGCCTTCAGCTGACAACTTTACTGCACAGTCAAGGAATGCAGGTATCCTGGTATAAATGCT